GCATTGTTCCTTCAGATCCCTCTTGGTATCCTTCCATCTACAGATAAGGATGTTCCTTTCCTCCAGGTATGGGGAGGGCACCTCTCCCGTAAGATCTTATGATCTGCTTCGGGGGCAATGGGGAGGTCAGAGAACCCTTCACGTACCTGCCATTTCTCAAATTCCTTCACCTTAAAATATTTGCTATGCTAAGTTGTCATGTTCTGTGGTAGCATGTCCAGAACCCTGTAAGAAATCAAGGTTAAACACTACAGTGACCATCTCAGGTGGGTTGTTGGTTATTAATCGGAGCCTTGGACCATAACTCAGGGTCGAAGCAGGATGTGTCAGTGGTGGTTGGCCTGACCTGCAGTTGGACACCTGCTTGTCCTAGCTGTTATCTTTGAGGGTCTCCAAGTGCCCTTCCAAAGGGGCTGGCTTTATAACCTCAGTCTCCTTAGTGGATGTTAGAACCTTACAGAATTACTTCATCTGATTTGAATAAATGGAAGTCTGCAACCCTTCCTCTGATTGCAGCTAACTTTCTTTAATTAACCTCCTTAACTACCTGCTTAAATTCTATATTCTGCTTATACTTTTTCTGTTCTGGCAGTTCCTGAACTCCTAATTATATCTTGATGACATTCAGTTCGCACACCTTGTATTTAAAGTTAAGACAAATCAAAAAAAAAAAAATTGCTATGGAATGTTTACTTGAGCAACTTGATTTTGGGGTGCTGACCCCAGAATGAACTGATTTCAAGATGTATGTATTGGGTTAACTGCTCTGTAAGAGTTGTTAATTATAAACCATTTAAATGCCAGGAAACAGTGATTATCCCCACCTCATGCCCCCCCCCCATGACAATTTAATATGACAGAGACTTAATTTGAAGCTGTTCTTTTTCCCAGTTCCTAACAGTAAAACAATCAGGGTTACATCAGTGACCTGTAATTGCATTTGTACCAAAAATGATAGACATTACTGTACAAGTTAAAAAAGAAGATGCATTACAGAACACATGCCTATTTTGATCCTCTGGAAGTTATTTTCAGATCCATGAAACACTCATTTCTACCAATCTTGATTTTTCAGGGGGACTGTTAAGGATCTCTGTGAAGCTTATGCACCCCAGACCATAACCTGCTCTCAGAGTCAAAACTGTCTATGGAGGGAGGGAGAGAGGGAAGGGAGGAGAGAGGAAATGGAGGAAGGTAGTAAGGAGAGAAGGAAGAGTTTTATGTTATTCTTAACAGATTTCTCCACCAAATGGGACAGGCTATGAGTGGTCAGTAATGGCATGACTGCTTCCAAGCTCTCTCTGCTCCTTTTTTAGGCCCAAGAGTTCAAATTGTCCAAAAGGAAATTGGTATTTATTTTAGAAAGCATGTCTGTTAAGCTGATAGATCTGTTAATTATGAAGTAATGGCAAGTTTGCTTTTTTTGATGAATATACTCTAGGTCCAAACCAATGGAAACATACTGACCATTCAGGATAGTAGGAGACACACGTTACCTCAGTTCATGGGGTTTTAGAGTCAAGGCTACCCAAAGATACAGCCTCAGCAGGGGCCCTGCCAGACCTCTTGGAGACCCAGAAAATTCTCTTCAAAGGATTCCAGGACCTGGTGGTTTGCAGTTGTGAGGACACTGGTTATTTCCTTAGAAGTGGGCTTTCTTTGCTTTCTATCTGACAGTTCCTCCCGTTCTTCCATCATCTTGTATAGAAAGCTGGAGAAGAAAGCCTCTGAATGTCCCCCAAAGCTGAGCTTCCGTGATGTCACTCATCACACTCACACTATATAGGGCCTCAGGACCTTTCTTCAGCGCTGAATAGCACAAGTCTTCATGGAATTATTAGTCTTGAATATTTTCCTGGCAGTGAGGCTCTTATGAAAGAGTTTAATTATATGTGGTCTTGAGATTTTGTTTGAAATGTTCCATGGACAGAATTTGAACCCAAAGTCCTTTTCATTTTTTTTTTTTAAGATTTTATTTATTTATTTGAGACAGAGAGAATGAGAGACAGAGAGCATGAGAGGGAGGAGGGTCAGAGGGAGAAGCAGACTCCCTGCTGAGCAGGGAGCCCGATGCGGGACTCGATCCCGGGACTCCAGGATCACGACCTGAGCCGAAGGCAGTCGCTTAACCAACCGAGCCACCCAGGTGCCCCCAAAGTCCTTTTCAAATAAGGCATTAGGATGACAGCAAGTAGGCAACAATATTCTTACTTCCCGCCTAATTAAAAAAAAACGGGGATGGTGGTGGTTGTCCCAAAAGCATTGTTACAAAGGCAGTTCACTTGGGAGCAGGACAAGATAGTCATGCTGTCATTAATTATGGCCTGTTTATAAACTTTAAAACAATATCCATATATTTAAGCACCACTGTGCCTTTTTGAATTATGAATGGAACTCTTAAAAAAAAAACAACTTCCTTGCTACTTTGATTAATTGATTCAGAAATTGATAACCAAAGGGGAAAATAATCCTTAGGTCCAGTTTATCTCAGATATGTCCAATTACAAGAATGTAGGCCTGCAGAAAGAAATATTTTTTTGGTTCTGCACAGTTAGAGCTTTCTGGGCATTTTTACTAGACTGTGGAACCTGAGCTTCAAGTCAAGCCTTAGAAGCTAAATTATGACCGGATAGATAGAACTGCAGAGATTTACCTCCCATGAGGTGTGTGGTTTCATTTTCAAGGAGTGGGATGGGGGGAGGGGATGAGACCCAGCTTCATGGCGACATTCCCAGGCTTGTTAAGCTGGAGACGCTGGTCTTATCTCCCCCTAAGACAGATATTACTTTCTAAAGGGTAAGAACCCAGGATCCTTCCCTAGTTGAATTTGTTTACATGAAGGCGATAAGATTTTTCTCCCTCTCCCAGAAGGGAGGTGGGGACAGCACTCCTGTCCCTGTCTTTAATCTAATCATCCAGATTGGTATTTTCTAGATTCCTCACCTGTAGACCGAGAATAGGACGACAACTGGCTTTCATTCTGTCACTCTGGAAAGACGAAAGTAGGGCATGGGGACCCAGTGCAATAATTTTCCGTAAGTAGTCACCCATTCTCCAGAAACCTCATATTTGCATTCAGGAAAATAGAAATAAATGTAGATACTAACAACTTGCAAGAGTCAGCTCAGACATGTGTTAACATGCAGATTCCAGGCGAACTCTCTCCCAGATTCTAATTCGATAAGTCCAGGTGCCCAAGAATCTGTAGATGAGCAGCTGCCCCGGGTGACTCTTACCGGACTTGTTTGGGAAACACCGCGCTGGTCCACGACCCAGGAATAGAAAGTGCTTCTACAGAAGACCAGTCTGCCTCTGCTAGCGTGGTCTCTTAAGTCCAGTTATTGTTCCCCCTCTATCTACCCCATCTTTTAATGGCAAGTAAGTAGACTTCGGGATACAGAATTTTTTTAGTTTAGATTTTAGGATGAGATTGAAGGTTGACACATCTCTCGTTGGGCTTTCTCTGTTATCCTTACAGTCCCCTTTATTGTTTTTTTTAAAAAAAAGAATTCACCATCATAATCATCAGATATCCTGGAATCTTTAAATGACCAGTCATCATACTCACGCAACCTGTGATCTCAGTATTCTGCCAAAACTTCACTGGCATCTCTATTTTCTTTTGTCACTATTTTTATAATCCCTTTACATTTGTAGATTGCTTTGCAGTTAACAAGATGCTTTCACATTTATTGTCCCATTGGAGTCTCACAGTAACTTTGGAGAGAACAGAAACAGTCAGGAGTTACACTGTTTATATAAATTTGAAATATATTTTAAAATATTTGAGGTATATAATATTTAAGAATATTTGGAGTGTGACGTGAGAAGACTGAAGTCCAGTATGCGTGTGGGTCATGAGTTGTCTAGCTGTGGTGTGGAGGCACTTTTAATTGAAAGGCAATCTCTTTGTTGTCATGATATCAACAGCCAACAAATAATAGGCATTGTGTCAAATCTCCTTTGGACATATTGAGGGTTGACCTCTTCCCAGATGCACAGAAACCACTGCCCGTTCCTGCCTCAGCTCTTGATAATTCTTTTTCTCTAACCAAAAGATAAATATAAATACACAAGTACACACACTGATAAAAACATCTGTTTTCAAACTCTGTTTCTCAAATGCCTTTGAATCCTTTAACTGTTAAAGAATAACCATAGGCCTTTATACTTTCACGGTTTCCCAAGCACTTTCACGCATACTATCTCATTTAATTCTTAACAACCACATATGAGCTACATAAAATATCCACCTTTTACAGAGGAGAAATAGAGGCTGAGAGAAGGCTCAAGGCCCATGTATTCAAGAGGTGGCAGATCCGGGACCTCCAAGTAGAATGTTAAGACCTGCAGTCCGGTCTCCTCCGAGGGGGTGTGAGGGTGATCGGCTGCAACATCTGTCACTCCGTTGATCACCTGGGTCGATTCAGCTGATGTGGCTGGCTAACACTCAGATTATGATGAAAAACCAATAAGGTGTGTTTTCTGCTTAAAGTGTCATAAGCCCTGAAATTTCCCAATTATTTAAATACATAATTCTCTAAAGTCCCAGACTCGTGGAAGCATGAGTTCAGAGAAGGCCAGCAAAGAATGCTGGCTAACAGCTAATGTCACGGGCAGTGGGGTGCTGCTAGGTCACCCAAATAAGGGGACTGGTGTGGTGTGGTGTGGTGGTTAACCCTAATAGCAATTCCAGAAAGACGGTGCCCCTCTGACTTTACTTCATCCACATCCACTTAATAGACCCATTTCATAAGAATTCACTATGGCAATAGCGATATGAAGATGTTGACCATTGTTCTAGAATCCATTGCAATGCAAAGAAGATAGCTACTAAGATTAATGTCCTAGTCAAAAATGCAAGATTTTTCCTCTATCGTGTAGAACCATTTGTCAAACTGTTACTTTGAACTTTATTCAGAGTCCCTTCAGAATTCAGTTCAACAGGTGTCACACCTGCCCTTCCTTTGTCTGACATGTGCATTTTTTCCATAAAACAGGATCTTCAGAGGCAGGCTGGAACACTGGAAACCCAAGCCGTCTCCCGTGCCTCACGCCTCCACCCGCTCGCCGTGCATGCCTTTCTCGTGGTTTAATGAGAGCCGAAAAGGATCCTATTCCTTCAGGGACCTGCCTTCACCTACAAGTCCCCTTCAGCCTTCTCCTGAAACTCTAATTTCAGATAAAAAGGGGTCCAAGGTAGAAAACACATGGATTTAAAAAGCAAACAAGAAAGCCCCAAATCCTTCCTCCTCTCCAGTCTTTTTTGGAAAGGATTCTCAACTTGTGTGTTTACTCTGGACCCAAGAAACCAATGTGATAACACTGCAATAAGCCATGTGTGGGGAAAAGGAAAGCCTCATTTAACCGTCCCCTTCTTTAATGCTATTCCATTCTAGATTGTACGTTGATCTTTGATTTGCCTGTCTTTTCACATATTGCTATTTAATCTCAGTTTGACAGTTAAGCCATGCTGGGAAAGATACATTTGAATCATGGAACAGTATGACAGATCTGTTTACCAAGTATTCCACTTTAAATTACATTACAAGACTATTTTTATTGTGCTCTTCGAGATTTACTGGAAAACAAATAAATTTGGGACTGAATATGTGTTCAATATATGTGAAACTCTTTAAAACAAACCAATGCTGACATAGCACGCTTACTTATTTTTTCTTTTAAATCAAACTTCCATGTTGAAAAACTTAATAATCTCATCACCAAAGTTCTCTAACTTTAGCAGAATTAGAAAATATAATTGCATGGGTGTTGTTTGTTTCTAGATGCATGATGGTTATTTCCAGCATGACGCTGCAAACCTTACCTAACATTTTATTGAAACACATACAGTGGCTAACGTTCACATGTTGTTTGGTCTCCTTTTATCTGTGTTCGCTTTTCTTTCTCAAACAGAAACGTGTGATTAATGTGACTTGAATTTAACTCTTTTCTTGAGGTCAGCGGCTCACAGGGTCTTGACAGGGCTTGGGGCTGTGTGTCTGTTGACCATATCAAATAGTAATGTGTTGTGTTAAATGCTCTCCCGCTTACATGTTCTCCTAGCCTAGCTCCGCGTGCTCGGATTTAGTCTCCATGTCTGAAGTTTTAGCAAACCCTGGGGTTTCTTTGGAACTGAATTCTGCAGCCTCTGGCATGGTAGTTATTTTTGACAACCGACTGAACCCAGTGGCAAGGGAGCCTAATGGAAAAGTAACAGGCCAGTTCCTAAGGAAGTGGAATATGGAACAAGATGGTGTTGGCCACGGGCTTAGAGTTCCTCAGAAGCCAGTCATTCTAGAATTACTAGCAAAAGAAGCTTTGGCAGCAGTAGACCACTTGGATCTTGAAATATTTTCAGTATTGGATCTGAGAAATCTAAATGTAGTTTGAATAATTCTGCCATTATCTTGCACTGGAGAGACTCCAGATTTGGTTTAAAATATTTTCACAAATGCAGCCATGTGGTCATTCTGAGTTTACTTGACTTTAATAGCCACTGAACATTTTGATGAAGTTCTGGGGAAGTTTTTTGGTTTTTTTTTTTTCTTTTTACACCCCGCCTCCCAACTCCACCGGCCCCAGGCAATTAATTGAAGAGTGTATCTGTTCTGCAGCCTCTTTGGTGCCCTGCGGGCTGCGTAAGAGTTGTATTTTAGCATGTAACTACTAGTGTATTGTCAGACTGTGACCTCCCCCAGAACTCATCATCTTGAAGGTTATATCCAGAGGAGGATCTGCCATTTCTCACAGTATTTATCACGGCCAACAGCAAGTGCTCCTTCCCAGGGGTTGCTCAAGCTACCTTTCTAATATGGATGGCCATCTGTTCCTAATAACTCAGGCTCTCCACACCATCTTGTATTTTTACTTGCACTGTTACTCATCACGAGTAGGGTCAAAGAAGATAGGCTTATTAATATTACTCCTCTGAGCAGTTGCAGAGGATAATGAAGCCTGTATCCTTGAAGAGGGATTGAAGAATGATTTCTCCAAAACACCTATCCTTCCATCTGATGGAGAAAGCACCCAGAATTCCCTATCAGTTACAAAAGGCCCAGCACTTTCCACCACCGCCGCTTGAAGGTCATCACCAAACTAAATCTGAATTTCTCCGAAGATGGCTTTAAAGAGAACCTTTTTAGGACTTGCAAATACACCTACCTCTGGTTCCCTCACTGTGCTCATTTAACACTGAGCTTCATTTATTTTTACAGAATTTTACCTTCAACGATGACTTCAGTCCCAGTAGTACCAGTTCAGCAGACCTTAGTGGCCTGGGAGCAGAACCCAAAACACCGGGGCTCTCTCAGTCCTTAGCACTGTCGTCAGATGAGGTACGCTCGTGGTGCTCACACAGACCCGCTTTCTCAGGTCATGCACTGTACCTGTCACCTATCCCCAGGAAAACATTCTTAAGTAGATTTTGCATGTAAATCATCGGGACCATGGTTTCTTGTTTGATGTGAAATCTTGATTTCTCTCTCTTTTCTCTCTCTATCTCAACATGAAGGCAAAGTATTGTTTCTGAGCCCCTTGGAAGCTCTCCAGGGACCTCCCCCGCCTTACTCTGACTTCATTGAGAGGACTCTGAGCAGGGGGCTGGGGGTAGGAGCCTGGGCACCAGAGAGCAAGAATAGGGAGCAGCTCAGAAATCACAGGGGAGTTTACCAACTGTCCATCCCCTCTCTCCCTCGCCTGCCCCACCATCACCCTTACCCCCGCCCCGCCACCCTTACCTCCCCCACCACCCCTACCCCAACTCGAGCGTGGCCCCTGATTGAGAACCACTGCAGTGGAGAGGGGAGAAAAACTGGGTGAGGATCACTTATTTAGAGGCCAGGGTCAAATTAGCATTGCCAAGAATTCCCAGAAGATCAGTGTGTTTCCAGAGAAACAGGAAATTGCATGAGTGATGGACTTAGTGCCCCAAGAGATATGGAGAGGACAGAAATGCCACTATTTAGGGCAGGGGGCCGGAGAAGGAGAAGCACTGTACATAAAGATACTGTTGCTCCACATATTTGCTCTAAGTTATTTCTTTCCAACATGATTTTTGTTTTATGAAACTTTTTGTCTCTTAAATTTTTCTGCCCATACTCTTCAGGCCCGGTGTGATTGTAATTTTACATCTTTGTACTATGTATGTCGTGTCTCCTATTTCTATAACACTTCTCTTTTTGATTCCTTCGTTGCTTCCTCACTCAGAGCCTGGATATGATAGATGACGAGGTGAGCTGTCAGTGGGCTGGGTGCGGTGGTTTCGGTGGTACTGGGGAACCTCCCCTTCTGTCTCTGCGAAATGATTTAAAACTCACACAGGACAAGAATACTTGTGTCTGTGGTGGAGGGTTTCCTGGTGTGAAATCATTTTGCTCTCTGCCCTTGTCTGTCCCAAAGTCGAAGAGATGTTTCTGAGGCAAGATGATCACCAGGTTCTACCTGCAGAGTCCCTCGATTGATCCCCCATCACCACTACCTTGACAGGGTCCATTCTGTTCCACCTTCTCTGCCTTCATCTCGGCTTACCCCATCCTGCCCCACCCCGTCAGCGCTCCCCGAGGTGACTCCTGTCTGTCCTCTCAGGCCTGTCATTGCCTCCATCGCCTCTCAGCTTAGAGGTTCTAGGAACCGAGCTGCCCTCTGCGCTGGTCAAAGTGGTGTTCTGCACTGGGCAGAGCCTGAGATTCGGGATAAACCACAAACTGTTGAGCTCTCCCGGTCACTCGCTGCGTGCTCCAGACAGACATGTAGACTGGCTGAGCCTCACTTTACTCATTTATTAAAAGTCATTATGGACATTACCTGCCCCGCCTTCCTCACGGGTCTGCTTGGCCGTGCAAATGAAACCCTGGCTGCAAGATTTCCCCTCACAATGCTTGAGGACTTAAGGCTTTCCTCTTCGAAGGGAAAGATCCCTCAATATTTCTAAATGTATTTTTATATACCTCTAATGTCTTATCAGAGGCTACACGCAGAGCGATGCCTTGCATATAGAGATCAATCAAATACTTGTTTTCTGCATCTCATACTCTTTCCACAGTGTTCTAATGTAAAGGCTTGCAACGTCGGAGTGTATTTTTCAGTAGGAAACACCCTACATTAATAATGCTGCTTTATCTGGGGGAGTTTTTAAATTTCCAAATACCTAACAAAAATGTAGGCGATAACTACGTGTGCGTGTTACACACACAGCTAGAACCATTAGCTTATTCATTTTATGGTTTAAAGATAAATGTGGCTCTTGTAGGCAAGAAATTCCTTTTGATAGCATAATAAGCCGTGCTGAGCCATAGCATTTTGGTCCTTTAACAACACTGCGTAACATTCCTACCTCAGATCCTTGATGATGGACAGTCTCCCAAACACAGTCAGTGTCAGAATCGGGCCGTTCATGAATGGAGCGTGCAGCAGGTTTCTCACTGGCTAATGAGCCTAAATCTGGAGCAGTATGTATCTGAATTCAGTGCCCAAAACATCACTGGCGAGCAACTCCTGCAGTTGGATGGAAATAAACTTAAGGTAAAGAACTATATCTCTGTGTGAGGTTACCAGGTGTAAGTTGTGTTGCTCATGGCACCTAAAATGTTTTCCTTAGACAAGACGTTCTGCATCTCTGAGAGGGAATTCTCACCAACTGTCCGCAGAAAGGTCGTTGCATCATTTCTGAGTAGTAAACGAAGTTTCGGAAAGTTGTCAGGGATTCTGAATCAAACAAGAGGCTGCTGAGTAGGAGAGCTAGGGACTCACTCCATTGCTTCCACCGGGCAACACGTGGTCCATATATGAAGTCTGCTGACTTCCTGTGTCGTAGGAGTTGTAATAATGGCCAAGGTGGACTTTTTGATCACATGAGAGTGAAACCTAGATCCACGAATCTTTCCTTCTTTATTCATTTCCTCTCTACCCCCGCTCCTCCCTGCACACCTCTCCAAAACTGGGACGATGTTCTCTTCAGAACTTTCTTCCCCAAGTATGTGCAGGCCGTGTGTCCCCCCGCTCCATCCCACTCTCATTTCGCCTGTCCAGTCCATCCCTTTTAGAGACTGGGGGGGGAGGGGGGCGGGGGGCGGGAATCCATCCCTGTAGAAAAAAGGGCAAAAAGAGCTTACATTTGGCTCCCCACCCCCAACTTCAGTCCCCTGCTGGGCTGAAGGGCAGATGAGTATCCTTGACAGTCTTGAAAAGGTTAGAGATCAATCAATAGTCTGTCAATTATGAAGGCCCCATTGACAAGGCTGTCCCTGTTGGGGAGATGGATGCATCCCGCTGTTGATGCTGAAGGTCATGAAACATTTAAAGTACACAACCAACTCCCCTTACTCTGAATTCCATGCTCACTAAGCAACCTCCTCATTAACAGGATGCCTTTGTAGGTTTGCCTACAGGTTAGGGAATGGCTAGTCATGCTGACGGGAGCATTCCGGCCCCAAAGACATTTTTGGTCCTCATTGTAAATGACTGCGTTGGCAAAAAGGAAGCCACTTCAGTTCTCTTTGCCCTCTTGGGGCCTTCCATGGCAGCAGGTGCCCACTCCTAGCTTTTAAAAATATTGATGAGTTTAGCAGTACTTTTGCCTGTAAATGTCTATGGCCCAAAGGTTGGAGAAGCAGAATTGTGCCCCCCCATTTTTTTTAATTCCTTCACCCATTAATTGCCAATTTGAAAAGCATGTATTTAATGGGGTGTAGGGTGTACTGTGTAGGCACTTCAGAGGGCAAATAAAGCTCCGCCCCTGAGTATGGAGATGTTTGGCAAACGTAAGCAGCTCTTTCTCGGTTTTTCCCTCTTTGATTCTGTTTAAATCAGTTCTTGAGTCTGAACACATTGTGATAGCAACCTCTTCCTAAGGAGAGAGGTCACTGGGTTTCAGGTTCAGTTTGTCTGTGTATTTCCTTCCTAGGCTCTGGGAATGACGTCATCCCAGGACCGAGCAGTGGTCAAAAAAAAACTCAAGGAAATGAAGGTATCTCTAGAGAAGGCTCGGAAGGCTCAAGAGAAGATGGAAAAACAGAGAGAAAAGCTGAGGAGGAAGGAACAAGAGCAGATGCAGAGGAAGTCTAAAAAGACAGAAAAGATGACCGCTGCATCGGAGGGCGCTGGTGAACAGTAACACACACCCCCTCGCACACGGCTCCCCCCCCTTCCCACCCTGCTCTCCTCCCCGCGGACGAAGGAACTGATGGAAGGGGTAACGTGCTCTAGGCCGACTGGGGAACTGCTTGTGGCAAAACTGCATTTTCTGCAATAATAGAATGCACTTTTAATTTTCACCTCCTGAAATAATCCCAAGCCACCTTTGTTTATTACCAAACCAAGGATCTCGTTTGTGAAAGATGCAGAATAGCTGTGTTTCTCTCTTCTCATACTTACCAACCCCTTGTGGGGGAACCAGGGTCACCCTGCCCGAGAAAAGCATGCCTTGCCCCGGTGGTGGTAGTGGGGCGCCACGGCTTCTCAGTCCGGGAACCCTGAAGCTGGGCAATGGCACGTATCTGCATGGCCGAGAGCGCCGCTCTGCCGTGAGATCGGGGCTCCAGAGTACTCCTGTGTGTGGGAGAGCTTCTCCCCTCGCGTTTGTGTCTGGACAGTGAGACAACCCCACTGTAGGAACACGGGTGCTCCGCCACATAATTATGTACGGCGGCAAAAGGCAAGCGAACTCTTCTGCTCGCTGGGCATCTGAAAGAGAGAAAAGAATTTGTTATTTGTTAACCCCAGAAGGAAGCAGAAGCCTGCAGAATGTGGATGTGGTTCTGAGGGTAACATTTATCCTCCAGATTGAGCCGAACACAGGAAAAAAATCAGACGTTAATGCAGCCCGGGATATGGGGATCCATTGTTTACTCTGCTCCCGCTGCGTGTTCAGTAGTTCACCGACACACAGAACGTAGTTCCTTTTTTCCCCAACAAATTGAACAGGAAATTGATTTTTAAGGAAACCAACATTTTCAGGTTTCCTCTCCTGGGGAAAATTCTGGCTAGTCTTCAAGCCTGACTGTGACACAATCAGGAACTTGTCACATATTTTCTACTTAAGATTTCCCAAGTGGGCTCAGTTAGTGTTTTAACAAATGTACTTTTAAGAAAAATAGGAATACTGGTTAGAGAAAATTTAGATTTGAGTAACACGCAACCAGAGAAGCAATTTTATTGAGCACACGGAATGTTCCCGTAAAGGAGAGCTGACAGTTGGATTTTAGAGATGTTTTGAATGGTTTTTCTGAGCCATTCTCTTTCATTCTTCAGAGATTTCCATGTTACACTTAAGCTTATTTAAGAGAGGCCACAGGATATAGTCTCCTAGCAGAGACCGTTAAGCTTATTTGAAAGCCAGTATATGAAGGATTTCAGTATTTCATCAAACTAATTCAAGCATGGGAGACTAGGGCAGAAGGAGGAGAAAATAAACCCATCTTGAGAAACTTCAAATGCTCGGTTGTGTGTTGTTGTTGTTTTGTTTTTTATGCTCGTGTCTCTGGTTGTCTTTGATGCATTGGCTATAAAAATGAGGTCATCCACTTTCCAAGGGACGAGTTTCAAAATAAGAGTTGAGGCCAGATGAATCTTCAGCTAGTGTTTTACTTCCTTTTACTACATGGTAGGGGGGTCTCGGTCCATATTGTACACTGGAAAGGTTTATACACAGAGCTGGGGGAAGGCTTTTGAAGGTTACAGTTAACAGATAATGGAAAGGGGCTCCTGCCCATCTAGCACCATCTTGTATTTTGGACATTGTGACTTATTTTTAATTTATTTAATTTATTTTATTTTTTTGCTTGCCTGAATATCTGAAATCTGGAATTGGCTGAACTAGAAACTTATAATCCTGTCTTTCCCTAAAGCCTGTTTCCTTTTTAGTGACAGAGTATTGTCTGTTATACTTTGATCCTTTTGTCCCTAGTACAGATCATTCATTCATTCAGTGCTCAGAAACATTGACATAAAGTAACATTGTGTTTTACAGTTATGAGAGTCACTATGTATGTTTTTCTGACTATCTTCATTTGGTGTATGATAATGAGATTGCCATACTGGATACTCTATTAATACTTGAGATGTGTGGTGCTTCACTATTTATTAATATGACGAGAAACAAGGAACCACTATTCATGAACTACAAAATTCAGTAGATCTTTCCTAATACCAAAAGACTAAATTAGTCAAAATCTGGTAATACTGTTGCTTGCTATTGTAAACTTTTTGCCCGTTTTGCTTATCTTTGGGGGAAAAAAAAGTGATCTGGATCACACTGGAAGTTTTGCTCTGTATTCATTTTAAGAGTGGAAATAGAGGATGACTATCTAAAGTTATGTTTACACTTTGGTAATATTTGAAAATGGACGTATATACTGGAAATGTCTGTAAGTTTCAGTCTCTGCACATAATTTATGATCTCTATTATATTGCATTTCCTTAAATATCTTAGAAGTATTGTTCTTGAACTTTATTTGTACACTTCCAGTGAGTAGACCAATGACCAGCTGAAAATGTTATAAATCAAATTCTTATTCCTCAAATCACTTAGTTTGTATTATAACTATTTTTATTTTTAAGTTAAGTTACAGTGATTTTAGGTCTTACTGAGTTATTTTAATATTACTACTTAAAACTGCTGAAATCGTAAAAGGCACTTGATTTGACTGTCCAGCCAAGGATAAAATGTAAACTGATTGATCAAAGAGTATGAAAACAAAGTGCAGGACCTCAGAACTTATGAACATCTTGTTTCCATATTCTTTCTTTTCTTGACTCTAGTGCATGATGCCTAGTCGAGGTTCCAGTGTCTTCAACAACTCCTATTTTAATGCTAGTGGTTTTCGGTGTCCGTACAGTTTAACGTAGACTTGTTGTTTCATGAACCTTAAAGACTTTGCAGTTTTTTATTTATCAGAAAATGAACAGAAAGGGAATATCTGGTTACTTTGAACTATATTCCCTAAATGACAGCTCAGTATGACTCTAATAATAGCCAAATTGTTTTGGGGTATAGGTAATGCTTTGGGGGTGAGGCCAAGCTGTAGACGGGGAACATTGTATGAGCTAAATGTCTGGGACAGAGTTTTCCATGAAAGGACTTCAGTTTTTATAACAGATTACTTGATTTAAGACCATCTCCCTTAAAGTAACTCACAGTTTATGCAATAGTTTTCTCATTCTTTTTTTTTGCCTGATTCCAAAGTGTACTTCAGAGTGATACATTAGGGCAGAAACCTAATTTTGCCCATTTGGACACATTGATGAAGTCCACCATTAATTTCATGACAATAAAGCTATCATTCTATGTTATCCTCCTTTGGCTGGGGTTGACGTGGATTTCCGGCCCTCAACATCACTGAAGTGTTCTTACCCCCCAGTGGTTTGTGACTGCAGTATTGTAGTGCTCATTCCAGACTTAGCTTTGAAGGGGCATGAAATGGGACTACCTGTTCTGGGCTTCTTTGTTGTTGTTGCAAACAAAGTGGCAAGAGGACAAGGGAGGAACCAAATTAACCCTTGCTGCTGCCTTTCATCCTGTGTCATCCCTGGCCCAAAATTGTAAGCTGTCCCTGAAGATTCTAAAGGGAGATGTCCCAACAATTCTGAAAGAAATGTTTATACTTTGGAGATGTTGGAGCTCCTCATTACATTGACATATTTAAGAATTACCAGATTCCAGTTGAGCAGCTAAATGTTCTGTCCCAGTAGGGCCCTGATGAGAGGCATTTCACTCTGGTGGACAGCGGTCACTACAGTTCATGTCACCTACTTAATGCTAAGTCCTCAGTGCTTTCTGAAGGAAAGGTAAAATGGAAAAGAAAAGTCCAGGGTTTTTGAAAAATATCTTTTCAAATATACCTTTAATCAAGGATCTACCCGTCTACTATTCTGAAGCTAAACATTGAAGGATGAAGTCCAGAAATAAAATGTACATATTTTCCACGGAGTTGTTTTCCTTCTAAAAATGGGGGTGGGGAGTCATTGCTCAAAAGAAAGCCGCGGTATAAGAAATATGAATGTGTGTCAGTGACTCATTTCTGAAAAACAGCCTGGGTATGTAGGCAGATTTTTGTTTTTATATTTGTCTTAGGTAGTTAAAGTCTCAGGAAATTTAGTCTTGGTCCAACACACTGGGGGAAGAAATCATACTAGCCAGGACACCAGTAGATTTTGAGTAACTTTGAACCCCTACCGCACCACCGGCAGTATAGAAGTGATCCCACCAGCAAGTCAGAGGGCAAAGAAGCTCACAGAATCCATTTTCCCCTGGAGAATAAAAGCCTCAAGTTCTACCTTAGGGTAAACAGAGGGTCTTTCAGTGCTCTGTGGATGTGTCGAGTGAATGGTTGTGACTTCCAAGCTTACATACGTGCGTGGTGTGGATCAAGCACAGCATGTGACCTGCTTCCAGATCTACAGTGTGGGGAAGGACAGAAGCGGGATGATTTCCAATCCTTGGCCCTACCCCAACCCCAAAACTGCTAGAGATTCAAGAATGAATAGGAGGTTAACGCATAAGAGAACCAGAGGCAACTTCTCAATAATGTGCATGCCACGTGTGTAGATGTACAGAACTCCCTGTGTGTGAATATATTCCTACCTTACACACACACACACACACACACACACACCCCGCAATCACATTGCATAAAAATATATATATATATTGTATATGGAACTTGGTAATGTCAGGACCCTAAGCAGTAATCATAACCTTATTGCCACTTTTTGTGTGTGTATACATTGAATGGCTCATAAGATTTTGAGAGATTTTTTTAAAGTAAGTATTTCTACTAAATGCACTTATCCTTCTACATGTTTATATATTTTGGTAAAATTGATTTATTAGATACTTCGTATTTTAGTAAGATAAAGTTTCCTCAAATGTTTGGTTAATGCTTTGATGTCAAGATTGCACATTGCTGAGTCGAACCTCAGAAATTTATGCAGCTTTGGGCATTTTCAACTGCGGACCGCAGTTTCCTCGGCTAAAAATTGCACCGCGTGTTCTTGTGCATTCACTCATGCTCCGCAGTGACATACTTGGTGGCTGTGATGCTTAAGTCACTAACTACTGGCTCTCTGATGGCACTGTTGTCATCACATGATCATTTATTAACTTCTTTTGTGGAGTGACGGCATGGTTAGGTCATTGCCAAATACAGTGCAAGTGGATGTGAGCGTGTGAGTATGTTGTTGGAAGGTGTACCCGTCTCTTTCTTTCAGCGGTTTTATTCACACACCCAGGTTTTCTTTGAAGGATTTAATCTTTCATCCGTGAAAGAACAATTGGCCACAAATAGTTAAATTACCTTGGAAAGCGGGAATTAATAGGCACTCCAGCTAGATAACACCTCCCAACAACATCAGATGTAGTTAGTGTTTTGTAAATCTCCTTAAATATTTATATATATATATATACACATATATATACATATATATACATATATGTTTTCCTTAATATTATTTATGGTCACCACTACTGCTTTTGTATTTTTTAATGGTGTTGCAATTAAACCACGAGTATGCCTGCTACTCGTCAGTTAACAAAACCAGTCCGCTGAAAAAAGAAACGAGAGAGAATGAATTCTGTTCCATTGTAAGAAGTTGATTTATTTTAACCTTTCTTTATGTATCGCTGCAGGAAAAGAGTTGTTTGAAAAACCATTTTAAGTCCAATAAGTATGGATAGCATGTTATCTGAAACTTTTTAATTTGTACATTTTGGTGTCTGATCATTTGCATGGAAGAGACAATAGTACCATGTCTGACTCGTTCTCTTGTGCTTGGTTAATATGTACTTCTTTAGATTGTTCTGTTTCAAGCAACATTTCTTACTCTTTGGTTTTCAGAGGCATTCAGAGCAAACTATCACAATGGTCCTCTGTTTTCTGACCAATCTAAAAATACCTGTGATTAAATTTAATTTGTCAGTGTAAATAAATTTCTTGCCAATGAGTATTATTGTTGTTAGACAACGAATGCAATAAAAAGAGAAATATGGACATCTGTCGGAGTAGGCTGTTTTTTTTTCCCCCCCTCTCCCATTTTCACCCTCAACTAAAACAAGCTTTGACTGGGCAAACCTGTATTAACTGTCAAAATACATCTATCTATCAAGAGCAAAGTGCACGTTTTCCATGGAAATGAAAGGAAAAATAAGTTTTAGCCCCGGAACAGTGTAAATTGGCAGCTAGCATTACATATGAAAGCACGATTATGGAACTGGGCATGAAGTGGGAGATGCTCCACCAGAAGCTCCCTCACCCGCCTTGCGGTTCCCGCAGCGCGTTTCCGATACCTGTCAGGCCAGCAAGGGTCTGTGACAAAATGCATTCAACAGCTGGCCTCACACAGCACGGGGCAAGCCCAGGGCAGGCCGGCCCCCAGGACGGGGTTCTTCGGGGTTCTTCGCAGCAATTTTATTTCTACAACCTTAAATGTTCGGAAGACTTGAATATAGCAAATGAGGAATATTAATTTCTCCCCCCACCCCCATCCTCTCTCTCTCTCACCCACACACAAACACACACACACGAACCATAATTGATCTGTGACTAAACCTTCAGCAAAAAATAAATGAAATAAGCTGTTTTTTCTCTTCCTCGGAGTGTGTTACGAAACCCTCACTGAGGGGAAGCATGTGTCCCTTTCGACTGATCGCGAGCAAATGGGATAGCTTGCTTTCTTTTTCTGGTGGGTGGGTTGGGGGCAGAATTTGCTTATTCTGTCAAGAATAAGAGAGGACAGAATATAGTTATTTCATTGATGATATCAAGCAACTCTTTTTAAAGGAAATATGGGGGCTTTTTCGACATAAGCCCAATAGTCATCGGTAGTTTCAAAACAGTATTTCAGAAAATCCAGCTTCAAGGGGCTGTGAACAGCATCACCGAGTAACTGAGCACTCATAGGGCACATGATATTATGCTCATTGAAGTTGTGACTAAAATTAATCTGATATGAGGAAAGTGTTTTTCGATCCAAACAAAATGTTCCCCTTTATTACTTTAAGTTAGTAGCCTTAAAATGTTGACAGTTCTCAGTTTATCAGCAAACCGTTTTTCCCAGCATGCCAGACCGTCCTCATGGCAAGCGCCTTGGAAGAACTTTGTTTCTAACGTGACTGCCTCTAGCATCCCAAAGACATCATCCGGCCTGGAAGCCATACTTTCAAAAGAGACAAAGGTAACCTTTTCAGACCAGTTTTTATAAGATAATGACAAAAGTCATCTTTTC